CTGTACTGCTCTAAGAATTTCTTTTCCAGCATATACCATTCATGAATTCAGCAAATTTGTATTGAACAGACTATGCACTAAGCCCTGGGAATACTTATATATGGTCCCTGCCCTTGTTGGCTCAAAGTCTGCTGGAGGTGTCAGGTGTTAACTAAGTAGGGCAGGTAGGATGAAGAGGTGCTGCAGGAAGGGTATATTTACACCCAGCCAGGGGCATCAGAAAAGCTTTCTGGGAAGAAGAAAAGGAGAGAGGAAAGTTGAGGTCCTAGCTCTCAGTCATGTATATCACTCTGATAAAAATAAGAGGGGGTCCCTATTCCTGTGCCACCCCCACCCACACACACACACACACACACACACCGTCCACTATACCACAAGGAAGGGATAGTAAAAGCCTCCTCATGGTAGGTAATGCTGTGCTAGAATGATTTCATTTATTCCTTCTCGTGTTCCAAAGAGTAAAACTGAGGCACAGAAAGGGAAGAATTACAGGTTTGGGCTTGAGATTTACCATACAGAAATCAAGGCTCCAAATTGGCAAATTCTCCAGCATGAAGATTCTTGCATTTGCCTGGCTGGAGCCTCCTGGGGAGAAAGCTTTCTCCTCCCTGTATACTCCACCCTCCCTGTAGATCCAGCCCTGACCTGCCCCATTCCCTGGAGCTAGCATGTCTGCCTCCACAGTTGCTGCAGTGTATATGAGGCTAGTGCTCCAGGTGTCTGCCAGCAGCCTGTAGGCGGGCGCAGCTGCCTGTTTTGAGCAGAACCTGCTTAGGGGAGAGAGGTCTTCTCTCTCCTCCATCCATTGCCCAGTTACTCAAGTTCTAACTAAGGGTCTTCCTTCAGCTGCCTTTTTTAAGTCCAATGCTTGGGATCAGACCCTTATATGTATTTAGTAAGGGCTTTAGCACAGAGCCACACACCAGTTGGACAGGTTCTTCCTTCTGAAGAAAAGAATGGAGGGCCCTTTGGAGGAGGGAGCTGGCCTCTTTGTGGCCATGCCACCTCTGGAGGTGGCAGAGGTCATGGGACCAGTGGGGTTAAGCACCATCCCTGTTCTGACCTACTTTTCTACCTGTGCCCACATCCCCTGAGGCCAGGGTGTTGGGTGGGGCCAGCCTGGCATCCCTGCACCCACACCTGGGACTTCCCCTGATTGGAAACTCCCAGGACCCAGGCCTCTTGCCTGTTCTGCCAACTCCCACTAAGTGCCTGAGTTCAGCTCACCTCCAGTCAGATCTCTGCCAGTCTCCTCCCAAACTACATCTAGATACAAAACCAAGAGACCTCAACCCTGTGGTCCACCCTTTAGGGTCCTCTTTGATATCTGGCTGCCCATTATCTGAAAAAAAAATTTTTTTTTTTTTTTTGAAGAAAAGATATGGGGCAAGGAAGAGGGGTTTGCAGGAAGCTACCCTTTGTTGATCACTTACTCTGTGTCAGGCATGTACATAATCTCACTTAATACACACCAATATGACCCAGCAAGCTCATAGTTATCACCCTCCTTCTATAGAAGAGGGAGAAGAGCAGCAGAGAAGCTGAATGACTTGCCCAATGTCACACAGCGAGGACATAGACAAGCCACGACGATAACTCAGACATTGGCAATCATGAGATCTCTTGTTCATAATAGGCCTTCTATGCCTTTCCAAGAGACTTGAAAATTAAATATAACCTAATTCAGCATGATACACACACACACACACACACTTTCTATCTGCATGTATGCCTTTATTCGAGAAGAGGGAATCAGAATCAACTATACATGGTTATGAGCCACCATGTGGAAATTGAACTCAGGACCTCTGGAAGAGCAGCGAGAGCTCTTAACCACTGAGCCCTGAGCCAGCTCTCCGGCGCCCTCAGAAATAAAGCAGTCACTATCCTCAAGGTCTGTGAGAGAGATGTGTATATGGACTAGGAGATGTCTAACTTCAGTGCCCCAAACTAGCCTTGAACTTGCTATGTAGCCTCAGATGATCTTGAACTTCTGATTCTGAATGCAGGATTACAGGCATGCAGCGCCTGTTTATATGGTGTTAGAGATCTGAAAGAACCCAGGGCTTTATACTTACCAAGTGAACAGTCTCCAGCAGTTATATTCCGCAGCACAGGAAGAGTACTTTTCTTTTTGTTCTGAGTATGTGTATGAATGTGTGTGTGGGTAGGAGGGTATAAGTATGTTAAGGACAAGTTGGGCATGGTGGCGCAACCTTGCCTAAAAACTTAGTGGCTAGCAGAGAGAAGAGGGAAGAGCAGGAGCAGAAGTAGCAGGTCATGCTTTACTGTGTAGTGAGTTTGTCGCCAGCCTGGAACACCTAAGACCCTGTCCAAAAAAAAAAAAAAAAAAAATTTCAGGAAAGAATGAGGTATCTTTGTGGTCAAGAGTACCAGCTGTTCCATCAGATAATCCAAAATTGAGGTGGCTCACAAGTGCCTGTAACCTCAGCTCTGCTTTTCTCTCTTACTTTGCTTAACTTTCTGTGAGATATGTCTATGTTGTTACACAGGATTTTCTTTATTGTTGCATAACATCCCTGCATCCATATGCCACAATTCATCTTCCTATCCTTGTATTCATAGATTTGGAAGATGGTTCAGTTTAGACTATCACAAACAAAACATCTATGCACAATTTTTTACTTTTTCAATTTTTATGTGTACAGGTGATTTGTTGGCATGTATGTGCCTAGTGCCCACAGAGTCCAGAAGGTGTTGGACCCCCTAGGATGGGAGATACAGGCAGTTGTGAGCCACGATATGGGTGCTGGGAACTACAGAGCAACAAATGATCTTAACCTCTAAGCCATCTCTCCAGCCCCTATGCACATTTTTGAACATCACAGTTTCTGGAGAATATTGGCCTGAGTTAAACTGTATGTTCAAATTTCTTTTTTCTTTTTCTTTGTTGTTGTTGATGATGATATTTGTTTTAGTTTTGTTTTTTTTTTTTTTAAAGCAGGGTCTTGGATATATAACCCAAACTGGCTTTGAACAGGCAGTATATATGCCTGCCTCAGCTCCCAAATGCTAGGATTACCAACATGTGCTATCACCCCTTCAGGTTCAGTTGTATCAGACAAGTATGGAGGTCAAAACAGTGGGTTCAGAAGTTCAAGGTCATTGGCTACACCATTAGTTTGAAGCTACCTAAGCTACAAGAGACCCTGTTTCAAAAAACAAAAACAAGTTAAAAAATAGGTAACAGTAAATTCTAATAGGGTCATGAATAGCAACAAGAAGCCCCACAGGCACACCTCAGCGCTTGGGAGGCAGAGGCAGAAGGTCTCTGTGAATTTGAGGCCAGAGATGTTACACAGAGAAACCCTGTCTCAAAAAACAAAAGCAAACAAAAGATCCAAGTGCTACCTCAACTCACCAGCCCTCTTTAACCTCTCACCTGTGTCATTATGAGTCTTGCCTTTGCTTGTGCACTCTGTGGAATGCTCTTCTGGTAGAAATTTCCATGACTTGCTCTCTCATTTCCTTTCAGTCTTTCCATGAAGATATCTTTCATTAGCATTGCAATCTCTAATACAAATAAAGGAGCCCCCAGATTTGATTCCCAACATCACAGTAAAGAAGAGGAGCAGGGCAGGCATTGGTGGTGCATGCCTTCAGTTCTGGCACTCAGGAGGCAGAGGCAGGCAGCAGAGGCAGGTGGATCTCTGTGAGTTTGAGGTCAGCCTGGTCTACAGAGCGAGTTCCAGGACAGCTAGGGCTGCTACACAGAGAAACCCTGTCTCGAACAAACAAACAAACAAACAAACAAACAAAAACGAAGAAGATGAACATGCAAAAGACAAGCTTATAGTCTTCCCTCCCCTCTCCTTTTCCCTCCCCTCCCCTCCCCTCCCTTCCCCTTCCCATCTCTCTTTCTCTTCTTTTCACTTTGTTTTAAATATTATTGTTGGGGAGGTCACTCATGCCCCAGCATGCATATGAAGGCCATGGAACAGCTTGTGGGAATTGACTCTCTTCTTCTGCCATGTGGGGCTTGGTGATCAACGTCAGGTTGCCAGGCTTGCAGGCAAGAACTTTACTGGGCATGCCATCCCTCCAGGCCCTCTCCACTCTATTTATTTTGTGGATGTATTTATTTTTGTTTTATGTGCACGAGTGTTCTGCTTGCATGTTTATGTGCACAACACACGCATATATAGTGCTCACATGGTTTAGAAGAAGGCATCAGATCTCCTGGTACTGGTGTTAGAGATTGTTATGAGCCATGTGGGTGCTAGGAACTAGAACCAGGACCCCAAAAGAGCAGCAAGTACTCTGACTTGATAGTCCATGTCTTCTTCCTGTTCCTCTTTAATGTGGTGCTGGGGATCAAATCCTGGGGCTCCCTTATTCTTGACTGTTTTTCTTCTTGCCTGGTTATTTGGGTACATTTCACCTTCAGACAGCTCTCTCCACTGCCAGGGCTTGGCAACTCAACCAGAATCCTTAAGGACCACCCAACCAAACTGTTGGGGACTGTCTAGAGTCCCCTCTGTAAACCACCTTTTATTTGATATTTGTATGAAATACTGACTTACCTAGCTTTTGCCCCCACCCCGTGCTACTCCTTACTTTTATGGGCCCTCCTTAAGAGAGGAAATAAATGTAGCTATCTAGTTCACTCCAGCACCCACCACCTGGACAATAATAGACCAGCAAATAATAGTTGTCCAAGCCAGTTGTTGGTTTCTCATAGACAACCAGGCACCCCCACACCCACACCTGGGACTCTCTCTCTCTCTCTCTCTCTGTCTCTCAACTCCCCGGAACCCAGGCCTCCTTAACACTCCTATCATCTCCAGCAATATCCCTGACTTGGTCTCCTGGAGTGCTTCTTCTACTGGGCTGCCTTCCTGAGACCCCTGGGAACTTATGGAGAACCCAAAGCTTTAGTTCTGGCTTCCAGGCTTAGGGAGACTCTGGCAGGTATCCGGGCCTAGAATTGCTAGAAATTCCTTGTGATTGAATAGCGGGAAGGAAGACAAGTCCCAGGCAAAGGAACAGTGTGAACAAATGACTGTTGGCATGAAAGTGCACATCCTCTTTGAAGAACATGTTCTGATCTGGTGCGGGTAAAGGACCAGATGGGAGGGTGGATAAAAGTATTGTCAGGCAGATCTAGAAGAGAATGGCCAGGTGGGGAGGTCTGAGCTCCCTGCAGGATCAGTAAGGCTCAGTGTGTCTTAGACTTAATCCTGCCCCTGCCCTGATCCACTCAGCCCTCCCTTTCACCCAGCCCCCAGCCTGCCTGATCCTGCAGCCAAATGGACTTCTCTCTGGGCCTCCGCTTGGGGCCTCGGAATAAGAAGTCTACCTACCAGGAGCCCCCTCCATCCTCTGGGCATGGGCCTCCAGCTACCTCTCCCTGCTTGTCCTGTCCCCCTTCTGCTTGTGCCTGCCCCTGTCCCAGCTGTCCCCCTGCCACCTGTCCTGGCAATGCTTGTCCCTCATATACAGGTTCCTGCCCTTCCTGTCCAGGCGTCCCTGGCCCACCCTGCACCTGCTCTTGCCCCCCTTGCCCTGCCTGTTCTCCCTCAACTTGTCCCCCCACATGCATAGGTGTCCCCTGCTCAAGTCCACCTATGACCTACTGCCACCACTCGCCTTGCCCCAGTTACCCTTGTTCCACAGGCCAAGCTGCCTGTCAGAGCTCCCACCTGGGCTTCAGTAGCAGCTGCAGCTGTGGCCATGGCACTGCTTGGAGGCCTCAGGGTTCCACAGGCTGCTGTAGTTTCTGCTTCAGGAGACAGAGGGCTTCTCGAGGGCTCTGTCTGATAATCTAGGATGAGAGAACGAATCCTGGGACATTTGCTTCAGCGGACACTTAGAGCTACATCCTCAGAAGAAGCTCTGCATAGCTGTAGGGTGAAGATGGAGTCAGGTGGATACCCGCTTCCCAAGTCCTGAAGGGGACAAGGAACCACTCCTTGGATACTGGTTTCTGGATGTGTTCCTGATGGTTCCAGAACCTCCTCCTCTGCACCTTCTTGAAAGTGTCTCCAGAGCCTTGCAGCCCTTAAGGTAAGCATGTCCATGGCTCCTTCCTCTCCCCACTCAGTCTGCAGGGGACACCTATGCATGTCTCCTTTGCAGTTCACATGGTTATGGCAGGCTCCTCTTCTAGAGGATGTGGGAAGTTCAGAGGACATTCCTGGCTCTCGACCTCCATCCATACTCATGATTGTCTCAGAGTATCTGGCCTCCTAACCTCTCATCTTCAGCCATACAAAGGAGGCTGGCAGCCCTTGGACCAAGAGAGATAGTTAAGAAGAGGGCTCTTGGTTTCTCCCTCCCCTGGGATAGCTTTGACATCCTTCCTGGTCTTTTGTGTCCATCCAGGAACCTTCTGCCCGGATGTTTTGTGTTGGAAATTTCTAAGCGCTCACTTAGCCTCATGACCTCAATCTTGCCACAGTAATCCTGTGTCTGCCACAGCCATGCTCTTGTATCTTGGGGAAGAGGGGAGCTGGGGACCCAGGGGTCCTACCCACATGTAGGTAGTTGAACTTGTATGTTCCCTGTTAGAAAACACATACCTCACCAATTGAGGTAGCTTTTTGGATTTTGGTGGATTGGGTTTGTTTTTTGTTGTTATTTTGTTTTGTTATTTTTCTGGAGCTTAGGACCTAACCCAGGGCCTTGTGCTTGCTAGGCAAGCACTCTACCACTAAGCTAAATCTCCAACCCTGAGACAAGTTTTTATATAGCTTTATGAACTCACTGTATAGCCAACATTAGCCTTAACTTCTGTTTTTCCTGCCTCTACTTCTCAAGGGTTGGGATCAGAAGCCTGTGCCACCACACCTAACTCTCCCTTAGAGTTTTAATTTACCACATCCCTCAATTCCTCCTCCTCTTTTTTCTTATATTTTAATTAATGTGTGTCATGCCACAGTATACCAGTGGAGGCCAGAGGACAACTTCTGGGAGTCAGTTCTCTCCTTCCACCATGTAGGACACAGGAATCTAATCTTTACATGCTGAGCCATTTTGTCAGCCCAGTCTCTGTTTTCTGTTTTTGTCTCCTCTGAGTTTCCTTTTCTTTTTGTTTCATTCATTTATTTTATTTTTCTTTCTTTCCTTTTTTTTTTTTTTGAACAGGCCCAGGCTGGTGTCAAATTCTGTCTTATTGTGCCTCAAGTCTCCCTGGTGCTGGGATATAGATGTGTACCAGTGTGCCTAGCTGATTCACAGAGGACTTTGCAACTAGGGAATCATGACTCCATTACCTGAGCCCACAGATGAAGCTTAGCGTCACTAAATGTGAAGAGCCAGACACTGTTTGCCTGATGTCATGATGCGGTCTGAGGCATTCAGCATTGCCTAGGGAAGATTCTGGCCAAAGAAACACACTGATTGGGGCTGAAGAGATGGCTCATAGGTTAAGAGCGCTGGCTGTTCTTTCAGAGGTCCTGAGTTCAATTCCCAGCAAGCACATGGTGGTTCACAACCATCTGTAACGAGATCTGCTGCTCTTTTCTGGCCTCAGGGATACATGCAGATATAATACTGTAAACATAATAAATAAATTAATTAATTAAAAGAAACACACAGATTGCTCAACATGAATTAAATCAAACCACCATTGCACATCACATGTGCATGATGTTCATAAGTGTGCATATCATGTGTATGAACATCATGTGTCTACAGGTACTCATGGAGACCAAAGATTTGTTCCTTAGAGCATGGTCCACCTCAATTTCTTTCTTTCTTTCTTTCTTTCTTTCTTTCTTTCTTTCTTTCTTTCTTTCTTCCTTTCTTTCTTTCTTTTTGGTTTTTTGAGACAGGGTTTCTCTGTATTGCTTTGGAAGCTGTCCTGGAACTGGCTCTGTAGACCAGGCTGGCCTCAAACTCACAGACATCTGCCTGCCTCTGCCTCCAGAGTGCTGGGATCAAAGGTGTGTGCCACCACCTACTGGCTGTTTTTTTTTTTTTTTTTTTTCCAAACACAGTCTCTGCATCCTCAGCTCTGAAATTACATTCTTGACCATAGTTTTTACCCTGGTTCTGAGGATTGAACTCTTTATCAAGTTTGTATGCCAAGCAAGTGGTTGGCCTACTGAGATGACTCCTCAGCCCCCTATTTAATGAGAAATACGGGCGATGGAGAAACATATTAAATGACACAAGGAGGAAGTAAATAGACTCTGGTGAGAAAATCTGACCTAAACAAGCCAATTGCTGTGGGAAAAGTGAGAAGGGACTTAAAACAGAGCCACAGAGCTGAGGGTACACCTCAGTGTTAGAGCCCAGTGACACCTGAGAGTGGGGGGCGATTTAGACAACCACACTGGAACATATGGGGGATGGCAACTATAAAAAGATATTTTAGAAGTTGAGAACATTTAACTGTAGATTTTTTTTTTTGTCTTTGTTTTTGTTTTTCAAGACATGGTTTCTCTGTGTAGCCCTGGCTGTCCTAGAATTCTCTCTGTAGACCAGGTTGGCTACCAACTCATAGAGATTTGCCTGCCTCTGCCTCCCCCAGTACTGGGATTAAAGGCACGTGCCATCAATGCCCAGCATTTGGTCTGAGTTTTTATTTATTTATTTAGTTAGTTTTTTTTGAGACAGTGTTTTTATGTACTGCTTTGGAACTTGTCCTGGAACTGGCTCTATGGACTAGGCTGTCCTTGAACTCACAGAGATCTACCTGACACTAGGATTAAAGGTGTGCTCCACCACTGCTCAGCTGGACTGAGTTTTATGATGCCAAGGAATCAATGCTAATTTGTTAGATGTAAGCATGACCCTGAGGTTATTTCTCAGCATTGATACGGACATATGGAGTAAACAACCTACTTAATTTGAAATGTCTCAGTGGAGAAAACAGAAGACATAAGATGGCAGACTCTATAATTGTTGAATTAAATATGTATGGGCTCATGGAATTATGTGTTCCACACTTGAGTATGTTTGAACACCTTAATAATAAAAGTTTGGCTAGTTGATTTCTAATACTCTCTGAGCATTTTTCCATGAAAGCTAGGATTTCCTGATGGCTTCTCATACAGATCCTAACCCTGGCGACCCTCAATTAGCAGATGGTTCTGGAGATAAACTGCACTGACAGACCACTTTACTTCCTCTAGTCACCTACGAGCAAATTTCCCAAAAAGATCTTTTGCAGTTGTCCCTCACAGTCTAAAGAGACATAGCAATCTTAAGAGTATACATATTTTGAATAGATTCTACAATAATCCAAAATAATATGGGGGCTAGAAAGGTTGCACAATGGTGAAGAGTGCATATTGCCCTTGTAGAGGACCCACATTTGGTTACCAGCATCCACAAAGCAGTTAACAACCTTCTATAACCTACATTCCAGAAGTTCCGATGCCCTCTTCTGGCCCCTGAGGAAACTACATGTATATGGTAGTTCTATAAATATACATATAGACACACATAAATGGTTTTTGTTGTTGTTGTTATTGTTGCTGTTGTTTTAAGACAGGGTTTCCCTGTGTGGACCTGGCTGTTCTGGAACTCACTATGCATGAACTCAGAGATCTGCCTGCCTCTGCCTCACAAGCCACCAAGATTGGCTAATACATCTTTTTTTTTTTTTTTTTTTTTTTCTTTAAAACAGGGTTTTCCTATGTAGCCGTTGCTATCCTGGAACTTGATCTGTAGGCCAGGCTCATAGAGATCCTCACCTTCAGAGTGCTGGGATTAAAGATGTGCATCCCCATCCTCTACCCCTGTCCAGCATAACAAAACAAAAGTAGGATATAGTGTATGCTTTTCATCCGAGCACTCAGTAGGCAGAAGCAGGTAGGTATTTGTGAGTCTATATAGTGAATTCTAGGACAGTCAGGGGTACAATAAGGCTCTGTCACATTAATTAACAGACTATTGGCTGGCATGATAGCTCAACAGGCAAAGCTTCTTGCCATCAAGGCCTGATGACCTTTGTGAGTTCTGTCCCTGTAATCCACATGGTTGAAGGATAAAACTGACTTACCGGAAATTGTCCTCTGACCTCCAAAAAGAAATTAAATTTATCAGACCTGGTGTTTCAAGGCTTTGATCCCAGAACTAGATAGGCAAAGGCAGGCAGAGCTCTGTGAATTTGAAGCCAATCTGATCTACAATGAATTTTAGGCAGCCAGGCCACATAGTAATGAGACCTTGCCCCAAATAAATAAAATTAATTGTTACCAAATTGTTTTTCCTGATTAAACCTCAGATCCTTCTACCCTGTATTTTATTTATTTGTTTGTATGTTTGTTTTTAGTTTCTTGAGACAGGGTTTCTCTGTGTAGCTCTGGCTGTCCTGGAACTCACTCTGTAGCCCAGACTGGCCTGAAACTCACAGAAATCTTCCTGCCTCTGCCTCCTGAGTGCTGTGATTAAAGGCGTGTGCCACCACTGCCCAGCTCTCCAAGGTTTTGAATAGACAAAACCAACAGTTATAGTTTATGCAGGTACTGTACCCATTTCATCTTCCCAGGAGCTTTGAAAGGATGAAACCGTAACCCTAATTCCTGCTTTACCTCTTACCATGGAACTCAGGATATACTACTTCTTCAACCCTGGGGGCTAATAATGCCTACCTAATGGGTTATTTTGACAGTTAAATGAGATATGCCATCAATAGTAATTGGCTGAGTATTTTTTTTTTCAGTGTTAGGGATTAAAGGCTCTCATTCATAGTAGACAAATGTTCTATCACTGCTCTACATAATCCATGGGTTAGATTATAAGAGGCAGGTACATTTCCTGTGGATGTGAAATGTGTAGCATGCTGCATCTGCAAATAGGGCTCCCACAAGTGCAGCTGCTGT